GGAAAAGGAAGAGGAGGAGGAGGAGGAGGAGGAGAAGGAAGAGGACGAGGAGGAGGAGGAGGAGGACGAAGAGGAGGAGGAGGAGGAGGAGGAGGAGGAGGAGGAGGAAGACGAGAAGGACGAGCATGAGGAGGAGGAGGAGGAGGAGGAGGAGGAGGAAGAAGAGGGGAAGATGAGGATGAGGCCTCTCGATGGCTTCTTGGGGCGTTCTTGGGTCCAAACTGGATCGTAGACAAGGTGCCTCTTTGGGAGGCTTCTTGGGGTATCTTGGGAGGCCTCTCGGCCGCCCCTTGGCGGTATAGTGGGGGCCTCCTGGTGCCTCTTGGGGCTTATAGGGGGGTCTTCCGCGCCTTCGGGGGCCTCTTGGGGGCCATAGGAGGCCTGCTGGCGGTCTCGGGGGACATCTTCCGGGGAACGGTTCGACATTTCAGTTCGGATTTCCTCTCTGTGGGCTTTCCTGGGAGCCCATGGAGCCATCTTGGGAGGCTTCTTGGGCCGTTTTGGGGCCGTCCTGGGAGCCTTGGTCGGACTGGGGCGATCTTGTGGACTTCTTGGGCCGTCTTGGACGGTCGGAAGCCCGAAGGGGCGGTGACGCCAAAATCCTTCCAAAACCGGAGGGCAATCAATGAAATTGGCCTCTAGGGGCCCTCTTGGGCCTGTCCGGGACCACTTTGGGGCTATCTTGAGGCTCTTAAGGCCCCTCTGGGTTGTTTTCGGGTCATCTTGAGGCTTGCAACCTATTGATCCCGACTCCTGGGCCCTCCTCGAGCTCACTTTGGGTCCTTTGGGCCGACCTTGAGAGCCTCGGAGACCGCCCCCAGGAGTTCCGGCATCCGTGACACCGACCGCCCGGGAGTTGCCCGACAGTTGGCCCGAGTCCGCCCAGGGTATTCTTCGTCTGGGGACCCCAGGGGCCGCCACGCGCGCGCGAATTAGCTGTACAATTCACCTGTAAGAGAGTCTAGCACTCCTCTGGCCCGTTGTGCCGGCGAATCTCTTGGAGAGACATCGTTGGTTTATTTCCAAACGCGCACTACCCCCAATAATCATTCGGCTCAGGAGATCTCGTGTGCGGCTCTAGACTACCATGAAGTCGGCACTGGTATAAGCACGATGCTAAACCAGAAGCCCGACGAAGAGCGAGTCAAGGCAGGTGGGTATCCTCGTGCCCCAGCCCTGCCCCGACGCTCCCTCCAGCAGGAGGACGGCCGTGTAAGGGCAGGCCTCCGCCCCTCCCCTGAGGAGGGCGGGGGCCACAGCCTCCCCACAAGGAAAGCACTCTCGCCAAAACGTTCGCGGAAGATCATCAAACGACTGACGAGCGCAGCAGAGAGAGAGAGAGAGGCAAGCTATAATCAAAAGGTAGGCGTATCATCGAGGCCCTCCGTGGAGGGACTCAGCAAAATTACAAGATAGGCCGCATACTATATATATATATATATATATATCAGGATCTTCTCCACTTAGTTGCCCCGATACGCCCGCTTTGAAACGCAACACTTGCCGTGTTCACAACGTCCGTGTCAACACGCGGCGTGTTGGTTCAACGTGTTGGCCCACGTTTTCGTACCGCACCAACACGTACGTGTTCAATCTACGTGTTGAGTTCCGTGTAGACACGCTACGGGTTGCGTGTGGCGTATCGGGGCGGCCGAGCGCATACCATGTCGCCACATCCTCTGAGGTCCTCTGGGGAGCAGTGCGACCGAAGAAGGCCAGCGAGGGGCCGCTGCCGCGAGGCGAGGGCGAGGGCGGGGGGGAGGGGGGGGCCAGCCAGGCGGGGGGCCAAGAGAGGCGGAGGGCAACAGGCGCAGAGGCGAAGGACTCGGGAGCTCAGCTGCCTCGATGCGCACGTTTTGATGCGCAGCACGTCCAGCCTCGTCCTCCTCCCTCCTCCGCCCCCTGCAGGACGACGACGACGACGACGACGACGACGACGACGACGACGACGACGACGACGACGACGACGACGACGACGGCGACGACGACGACGACGACGACGACGCAGCAGTGGTTTAGTTGTTTCCGCCGGCTTTTCGCCGATTTCCGCCGGCGGAGGCGCCCCCGCTCTGGCTCCGCCGCCGTCCATCGAGGAAGAGCTGCCCATCTCTCTGGCCCTCGGAGGCGAGGTCCTTTCTTCTGGAACGCCCCACGCGGTCCCCACGCTCGGGCGAGGCTAGGACGACGATAGTCGGCTCCAGAGCGTTCCGGAAGACTCTCAGGGCGTTCCGGAACGCTCCGAGAAGGCCGCCGCGCCCGAGACGTCTTCCTGAGCCGCCAGATCTCGGAGCTTCTCGAGTTATCCTCGCCCGATGTTCTATTCGTCCTGTCTTCGTCTTACACCCTCCTCCCGGCACGTCACACACAGGGGCCATGCCTTGCAGGAGGGAGCTCCGCCCGCGGCTCCAGCGGGGGCGCGCCCACGGCGCCTCTTGTCGCCACGCGCAGCTGCCCAGGGCTTGGCCCCTCGCCAGGCTGGTGTGTGTGTGTGCTCTTCTCCGTCTTCCTCTAGGAGTGGGGAGAAGAGGGCCCAAGGGTTTGAGGCGAGCTGCAGGGGGGACGAGTTTGAGGAGGAGGAGGAGGAGGAGGAGGAGCAGGAGGAGGAGGAGGAGCAGGAGGAGGAGGAGGAGCAGGAGGAGCAGGAGGAGAAGGAGGAGGAGGAGGAGGAGGATGACGAGGACGAGGACGAGGAGGAGGAGGAGGAGGAGGCACAGGTAGCGCATCAAACCAGAAACTGGCCTGCCCGTGCGTGCCCCACGGGAGTTTCTTCTCATGTTCCTCCTCATCCTTGTGCTTCTCATGTTACTCCCCCTCCGCGGCCGTCTCTGGCTCTCTCTCTCTCTCTATCTCTCCTTCTCTTCTTATTATTAGTCTTCTTCTTCATCATAAGTACCCTCTTTTCCCTCTGTCCTTCACTCTCCGCCCCTCCTCCCCTCCCCCTCCTCTGCGGAGGCCCCCTCAGGCCTCTGGAGGCCGCCAGAGGCCCATAAACGTCAAAACACATCGCTCCCCTTCCTCCACTCTGTTTCACGGATCTCTCAATCTCTTCGCTGCCTCAAGTGGAATGCGTTCAGGGCAGGAGCACAGCAAAGCCACAGGAAAGCGTGACATCAGCGATGTAGCTCCGCACACGTGCCAAATGCATTAGCGGGCAAGAGCACTGCAAAGCCCCTGGACAGCGAGGCAGTGACAGTGCAGCTCAGCATCAGCACAGTGGCTGGGGAGCCGCCGCGATATGTCCACGAGCGTTGCTCCACCCCAGCGGGTGTGGACAGAGGACGCGTCGGGGCTCAAGAGACGGGGTTCGATGCAAACGGGGGTCAGCCAGAGCGCCGGATCTTGCAGGATCTTGCAGAGCCAGGGTCGCATTGACCCCGGTCTGGGCGCAGGATCCTGCATGATCTTGCAGGAGCTTGCAAGGCCCGACTGACCTGGGTCTGCATTGACCCAGGTCAGTAGATCCCCGAACGCGTCCCCTGACTCCACCGCCTCCCACCCTCCTCCCTCAAGCTCGCGACGGCGGCGAGGCCGGAAGTGGGGACCAAGGCAGCGGGGGCCCAGCAGTGCGAAGGGAGAGGCAGGACCCTTCGACCGGGAAGTGGAGGGCCCTCTGGAAGGGCTCTCGACCCGGAGAAGGATCGAGGATCGGGCGCTGCCAGAGGTGACCCCCAGCTTGATCTCCGCCGAATGCTTTTCGTCGACCTCGGCATCTGAAGGCCCGCTTCGGTCCCCCCAGACCGTCACAACTGGTGCAGGATGAGAGACCAGCTTCGATGGACCCCAGGATGGGTCCAGGGACCAGTTTTGAGCGGAGTTTGCTCGGGAGGGGATCGGGCTCTGCTGGAGGTGACCTTGGCAGGGAGCACCAGATGGCCTCCAGAGCATCTCTCACGACACCCAGAGGGCCCCAGGTGACTCCAAAATGGTGCGAAAAGCTAGGGGCACTTTGGGCCAGGGCCACCTTTCTGGAAAGCTCCGAGAGGAGGGGGAATGGTGTAGCAATATCTCTCGCGTGGGACAAGTTTGGGCCCCTTCCAATGAGCAGCAGATCACAGTGGGAGAGCAAAACAGGCACCAACTGCCCCTTCAGCGAATCGCCTACCAAGCACGATCACCACGCTGATCCAGACCTCCCAGATTGAGCCAGAGCAGATGGGGTGGAATATCGCACCGCATCGCCGATGCATCGGCGGAACAGCGCGATCTGGAATTCGATTTTCTCCATCCCGATGTCGCCAATGCATCGGCAATGCATTGGCGATGCGATGCGACCCTCCGACCCCGTCCGCTCTGGCCCAACTTGAGAGCCCTCCAGTCGACGACGACGACGACGACGACGACGACGACGACGACGACGGCGACGACGACGACGACGACGATGATGACAACGACGACGAGGGTGGGTGACAGCGTCGGTGATCCCAAGCATCCGTCGATCTTATTGTTTCAATGCGTGGCCCTGGAGGTCCCGACCCCGAACCCCGGGCCAGTTCTTCGCCCCGGATCCAATGGTGATGCGTCCAGGGCCCGATGATGAGCCCCAGAGGACGAAATCGGGGATTGACGCCCCCAGGCTGAGACAAAGTCGTTCCGAGGCAGGAGTGTACACATGACCACCGCTCGGCGGATCAATCCTCGGGGACATCGGCAGGCGGCGGGTATGGATATGCAGTCGGCAACCCTGGGGCCAAAACACGTCCATATCCACCGCCCGCTGGGGCCCCAAGACGTCGGTTCCCCCGGCGATAAATGTGGATCTACAGTGGGGGCCCATGCCAAGAAACACCCTGCTTGCCTGCAGGGTGCCCTGGGTTTATTGGGTTTCGATGGTTTCGCGATGGAAAGCGTGTCGTTCCCGCACCAAGAACCAATAGACGTCCTGGGGTCTCAGGGCTCGGCTTCTTCTGAACTGGCCTCCACTTAGATCCCCGCCCTGCAATCGTGTCGTGCTGCCAGAGATCTGGGACGGCGGCGGCGCTGGCAAGCGCGCCCGCAGCAAGGCGGCCTGCTTCTCCACGGCCACCGCCTCCACCACGGCCTCTGCCGCGTGGCAAGCGCCGTGGGCCCCGGCGCCGTCGGGACGACGCGGCGCCGCGAGGAGCGCTGCCGTTCTCGCTATTGTTTATTTCTCTCTCTCTCTCTCTTTGTTGTTTGGTATGTTCTCTCTCTGCGTATATATATGTGTGTAATTAGATATCTTTATCTCTCGCTTTCTCTCTCTCTCTCTCTTTCTCTCTTTCTCGCTCTCTCTCTCTCTCTCTCTCTCTTTCTCTCTTTCTCTCTCTCTCTCTCTCGCTCTCTTGCTCGCTCTCCCTCTCTCTCTCTCTCTTTCTCTCTCTCTCTCTCTCTCTCTTTCTCTCTCTGGATTGATCTCCCGATCCCTCTATATTATTACATATGTAGATATCGCTCTCCTTCCCTCGCTCTCTCTCTCTCTCTTTCTCTCTCTCTCTCTCTCTCGCTCGCCTTGCTATCTCTCGCTCTCGCTCTCGCTCTCTCTCTCTCTCTCTCCTTCGCGCTCTCGCTCCCGCTCTCCCTCTCTCTCTCTCTCTGTATCTCGCCCTTGCGGTGGGCAGAGGCGTGGGTCTACCAGGAAGCTCGATACGCATGGCGCGACCTGCCTGGGCGAGGGCTGGGTACATTGGGTACATAAGTATATGGCCACGTGGCTTTCCGGCACTCGGCCCTTGCTTGGCGAGCAAGCGGTCCAGCGCATGACCTCCAGGTGTTCACATGTGAATCCAGTCACGTATGTTTCCGGCTTCTTGGTACAGTGGGGGCCAGGGGCCCATGCCAAGAAACACCTTGCTTGCCCGCAGGGTGCTCTGGGTTTATTGGTTTTCGATGGTTTTGCGTTGGAAAGCATGACGTTCACACACACACACACACACACACACGCACACACACACACAAAAGTCAATGGACGTCCTGGGGTCTCAAAGTTAGGTTTCTTGTGGAAGGTTTCTTGTGGATTAGCTTCCACTGTAGGCCTCCCGGATGGGGTCGGAGCAGGTGGGGTCGGCGGATCGCTCCGCATCGCCGATGCATCGGCGATGCGGCTCGATGCGGAGCCCAAGTTGCTTCACGCCGACGTCGCATATGCTTCGGCGATGCGGCGCAGTCCTCCGATCCCATCTGCTCGGACCCCATCTAGGAGGCCTTCAGGTGGGCGGAGGCGTGGGGTTGGCAGAGGCGCGCCCCGCGGCAGCTGCCCGCGCCCTCCGCGGAGAAGCGGTGTCAGACATCCAGCGATTCGGCACAGGTCCTTAACGGCTTGACGACTCTACGCCGATCGACTTATGGGGATCAAGCCGGACGAGTCAAGGCAAATGGAGATAAATCCGGGTAGATCCAGGTAGATCCTGGCAAATCCGGCGAATCCAGGCAGGTCCGGAGATTCCACAGCAGAAATTCGGAGCAAATCGTGGCCGCTCCGGCGCGCCAGGGACGGCAGAAGTCGCCAAGCCCTTAACGAAAAGTCGTGACGGCCAGCGTTTCGTCGCTGTCGGCCTCTAGGCGCCCTCGCCGGGCCCTGGGTCCTTCAGGAAACGATTCGGAATGCACGGTTCGATGATCCTGAGGACGTGGGTTCGCCCAGTTTGTGATTGGCCGGCTCAGCTCCACCGACAGCGCGCAGTTTGTGTGCTAGGCTTTGTGACACCGCTTGCGTCGTGCTGGAAGGGCTCCAGTGGACAAGCACACCTTGGCGCCGACACGTTCTGAGGCTCATCGAAAGGCAGGCCATGGGGACTGGGTGGAAACCACGCACTGACAAAAAGCACAGGCTGTCGGGCGTCTGGGGAGGAGCGGTGCCGCGAGGGGTGGCGACTGGGTGCCGCCCTCCTCTGCCGCCTCTTGGGCGGGCTGTGCCCCCTCCCGTCGCCTCCCCTCCTCGGGGGCAACGTCGAGGAGGGACAGGCTTTGGGGGGGAGGACGCATCGACCCCCGATCGCCCATGGATCGCCGACAGGTGCCCGACAGCCCACCGCGCCCAGGACCGTGCGGGCTCGCTGCCGGGGGCCTACCGCCGAGGTATCGGCGACGTACCGCCGATTCCAGGTCGATGCTTTTCTCCTCTTGAACAGGTCTCCCCCGAGCGCTGTCCCTCGGGTGGCGATCAGGTGCCGACTCCTCTGCCGTCTCCTGAGCGGGCGGTGCCGCGAGGGGTGCCCTGGTCCCTCCCATCTTTGGAGGAAGGAACAGGAAGGACACGGTGGCCGGGGCGAGCCTCGGCTTCCGCCCGCCCTGCCCGCCTTGAGAGAACGACCTGCGGAATAGATGGTGTGCTGAACCTGTATATGTTGCGTACGTAGTCTTCTTCTCAGTGGTCCCTCCCTTGTGGCAAGAAATAGTTTCAAACAAAACAAAAATATGGAAGTATTAACTCTCGGAGGTCCGCGCGGACTTGTTGGAGCGGCGCTGGACCCCCTGAAAGCGCCTCCGGCGCCGCTCCTGGCGCGTAGACCAGAGAAGTTCGTGCGGACCTCCGAAAGTTTATGTGTGTGCCGTTGTTGCTTCGCCGAAGGGAGCGAGGAGCGTCCTCCCATCTCCCCATCTCCCCCCTGCCTCGGGGGGTCAGGCGAGCTGTGCAAGTTGCTGATTTCTGCGGCTCGCTGCGAGCATCTCGACAGGACTGCTCACGACCAGCTCCGCAAGTGCTGAGCCTCAAGACATGGGTTAGTGGCTGACTGTTAAGAGGTTATGGATATAGCGAAGCGATGGCTGCAACCCTTGCAACATCCCTCCCCCCCTTGCCCTCCCCAACCCTCCAAACCTTTTTTCTGCGCCGGCTCCCTCCCCTCCCCATCCCCTCCTGCACGCGCCTGGGCTGGTGGCCCGTGAAAGCAAAGGAGGCGACGACGACGATGACGACGACGACTATAACAATCTCCTAGAAGAAGACAGCGACGAAAGCTGTAACGATGACGACGGGGGCGGTCCAGCCAGGAGGAAGGGGGAGAGGAAATCGAGGAGGTGAGGGGAGGGACGACGAGGAGGAGGAGGAGGAGGAGGAGGAGGAGGAGCAGAGGAGGGTCGATGATGCGGGGGAGGAGGGAGGCAATGTGTGGTATGGTGGGCCAGGCCCGCCCGCGCACGACAGGCAAGTCACCATGTGGGTGCTCAACCTCAACATCTCTAGTGCGGCGAGCAAGCAGGTAGCCGCCCTGAGGACACAGTTCGCCAAGGATCGTGCGGGGGACGTTGCAGTGAAAGCCAAGGCCATGGTGCAGATGCTGCACTTTATCCAGGCTGTCCATCCATCCTTGCCCCTTCTGGCCCATCCTTACAATAGATCCTAGAGCTGTTGGCCTGATGACAACCTAACTGTTTCCCCCGGGAAGTCCACGGGCATTGCGTCCACACCCTGCGTCCGCACTACGGATCCTGACTGCACGGGAGGAGCAGGCTCGGACGAGGAGGAGGAGAACCAGACTTCCAGGCTTGGACAGCTCCAGTTCGGAGCCAGTGCCATCAGCTCGAAGACCTCCCGGCGCCGCGAACCAAACAATCACACGACGGGCGTCGCCTTTGCGGTTTCGGTGTCAGGGTGCCGGTTTCGGGCCCCGGGACACGCATGAAACGATCCGCGACGAAACATTGGTTTGGGGGCTTGGGGTCGAGAGCTCCGCATGGCCACGTCATGAGAGACGACGTCGTTCTAGGTCTGGGGGAGGAAGAGCGGAGGAGGAAGAGGAAGAGGAGGAGGAGGAGGAGGAGGAGAAGGATCGGGTCGGATCGGATCGGATCGGTTCGGCTGTCCTCGGAGGAGGGGCCAAGCCCTTATTGCCAGGGGAGCGCCAAGCTCAATTGAGCTCGAGGGTCGAGGTTGCCCCAGGTGGGGCCAGGAGAAGTTCTGGAATCAAAGCCCCGAGAGCATGTCCAAGGCAGAGGCAGGAAATAACGAAAAAGCGAATTGATGGCACCATAGAGACGTGTCCTCCATCTAGCCTCCCACCGCTCCAAAGAAGCCACCCCAGACAGTAGCGGCACACGCTTCGTGAGAGCAGTAGACGCACTGAAGCATGAGGGCGAGAGAGAGACGAGGCAAAGCAAGGACGAACACTTGCATGGAGCAAGTACATAGCGAGGCACCAACCAACGCCCCTGGCGCAGCAGGGGCCTCGCCGAGTTTTGAGGAGTAGAGAACTCAATGGATACACAAATAAATCCAATCCAGCATGCCCGATAACCACCACAAGCTACAAGAAGAAGGCACTACACACACAAGCCAGCGAAGCACTAAATCAGGCTGAGGAGACCCACAACGTGAGAAACAGGGGGGGGGTAGGCCCTAACCGAATAGGCAGGTTCGGGCGCAATGGAGCAGACATGCAGAGCACAGAGAAGCAAACCTGAAAAAATGCACAGAGTAAGCATCAAGTGGAGCATGGAGCGAAGGGGGCGACCCAAGGAAAAGAGAGCGGGTTGATGCCCCAACGGAATACGCAGGTTTGGGCATACGAGACCAGCACCGAAGTTGAGAAACAGAAACGTCCGAAGACCAATCTCGAGAGCGAATGGGGGAGTACCACAAGGGGGAGGGAGAAGAAGACCGTGAAGTACAAGGAAGAGGACAATTCAATTGGTTGATGTAGCAGCCACTCTTGTGACTGTTGAGAAGAAAGCTTTAAAGTCATGCGGAAACTCTTCGACTCATCTTTTAAACCACTGAGTCCACAGCTGCTGCCCTGCCAGCATGGCGTAAGAAGCCCTGCACTATTTGCAAAGAAATCTCAATATTGCATAACCTAGCACCTCTCCAAAGGCCGTCCTTCTGGAAAGGGCTACAGGTAGGCAACGTCACAGATGTCAAGTCCACTTGATCAGGCTTATTATTCTGGCGCCTTGCGTCGCCTGATTTCTGAAAGATATGTCAAGAGGTGGCAGCGGGGGACGCGCATCGGGAGGGAGCGTGGCAAATTCGCACGCATTGGCAAATGACTGACCAGCCACAAGGGCGTGCCAAAATGCACTCACATCGCCTTCCTGCTCGCCTGGTGGATCTTCTTTGCGAGACTGCACAGCAGAAACGCTTTCGCCCTCCTCCCTCCCCAGGCCAAGAGGTGGGAACATGTCGGCGGCGAGCGAGGGGGTGGAAATGAGAAGGAGCAGGCATCCTCCGAAGGCGGCGTGACTTCTCAGAAGCCCTCGCGCCTTCTGAGAAGTTGTCCGCGTCTTCGGGGAAGGCCTGGAGAATTTTGTCAGAGGGTCGGGGAACTCCCGAGCCTTCTGAGAAGGCCCGGCCCGTCTCACCTACCCCCCCGTCGCGCCACCGAAAGGCACATCAGCAACTGACGGGCTTGAAATGGGAAAGGCCTTCCGGTCTGCGCCGTTAACCCTGAAGGCGGGACCTCTCTGGGGACACCCTCGTTGGCGCCCCCCCCGGGACTCACCTGGACCCCGGGGGGGGGGGGGGCGGCGGTATTCTAACCCGGGACCATTTTCCCCCACCACAGATGCAGACATCCAGCGTCTCGATTTTTTCGAGACGCAGGCCCCCGACCTCTCGACCACTACCCCGGGACCGGTTTCTCGTCCCGAGTCGTTGTTTGACGGTCCCGAGGCCCGGTAAGGGCTTCTAGAGGCCGAAAACGATGAAAAAGCTCCGTCTCAATTTTTTCGAGACGCCAGGATGTCTGGGGACGGGACCTCCCCCGGGGAGAAGGCACATCAGCAGCCTCGCGGACCTGAGATTTACCGTCGCGCTTCCCGCGAAGAGGATTCGCCGCAGCACCCCACAAAAGGAGAGCGGCGGGGGGAGCGCGAACGCCACCCGGGGGGCGGAGTCCCTACTAGGGGCGGGCGAGGGCTGAGTGCCAGGGCCCTGCCCATCATCGGGCAAGCGTCGAGTGCGCCGGAGTGCGGGCTTGCCGACGCTGTTTGACGAGCGCGAATTGGGTTTTGACCGTCCAGTCTCCGTTAGGATGTTTGCAGCAGGAGCTCGCGTCAGACTTCGGGTCATGCCTCGTCATCGTCCAGATGGTCCTGCCAGGCCATCCCAAATCCGAGTCTCACGCCTCCCCGACACAATCGAACTGATGTCCTGGAGAAGAGCCCCTCGCTCCGCCAGGTTCAGGCTGTGCACGTTATTCCTGGTCAGCGAGCCTGGCTCATCTCTTGAGCGGCCGTTCCTGCGGATGTGCGGGCTGATCTCGCGCACCCACACCATCCCGAACCGAAGAGTCAGGAACCTGGTTAGTGAACTGCCCTGGTGGCGGAGCCAAGGGCAGAGCGGACAGCCATGACTGTGAGCTCGAACGCAAAACAGGAACGGGCGGAACTGGTGGTAGTAGCAGAGCAGATTCAATGGGCAACGGGGAAAGAAGAAGCCCTCCACCTGTCGACAGCGTCACTGACGAGGACCAGTTTGATGAGATCGAAGTGCCTTTTGCGGGAGAAGGCGGCATTCAAGGCGTAGACGATGCCGATTGCTGATCCCGCTGAGGAGAAGGCATAGGTGCAGGCAAGCAACTCGCCGAAGCCCACTGAGACCGCATACCACGAAACCGAACAAGAGTAAGAACAAGAGTGGATAAAGGATTGAACTGAATATCGCGGTCTGCCTCAGCCAGGCTGACGCGCCTGGGCTCCACACCCGGAATGAATGCACATGCAAAGAGGAGGACAAGGGGGAACTCCCCCGCCTCTTCCGCCCAACGGGCAGGACACGAGTTGGGATTTTGGGAATGGCGGGCAGCTCGGGCACGGAGCCTGGCCTTGAGCCAAAATGGCTACGGAGGAGAAGGAAGAGGAGGAGGAGGAGGAGGAGGAGGAGGAGGAGAAAGAGGCGCAGGAGGAGGAGGGAGGAGGAGGAGGGGGGAAGACGAGAGAGGAGGAGGGGGAGGCGGAAGAGGGGGAGGAGAGGAAGGAGAGGAGGAGGAGGAGGAGGAGGAGGAGGAGGAGGAGGGAGGAGGAGGAGGAGGAGGAGGAGGAGGAGGAGGAGGAGGAGGAGGAGGAGGAGGAGGAGGAGGAGGAGGAGGAGATGGCAGAGGAGGAGGAGGAGGAGGAGGAGGAGGAGGAGAGGAAGGAGGAGGAGGAGGAGGAGGAGGAGGACGGGGAGGAGGAGGGAGGAGGAGGAGGAGGAGGAGAGGAGGAGGGAGGATGGAGAGGAAGAGGGGGAGGAGAGAGAGGAGGAGGGGGAGGAGGAGGAGGAGGAGGAGGAGGAGGAGGAGGAGGAGGAGGAGGAGGAGGAGGAGGAGGACGAGGAGGAGGACGAGGAGGACGAGGAGGAGGAGGAGGAGGAGGAGGAGGAGAAGGAGGAGGACAAGGGTGGAGGAGGAGGAGGAGGACGAGGAGGAGGAGGAAAGGTAGGGGGAGGTGCAGGAGCAGGGGCGCCATCGCCAGGAAGGGGAAGGAGCGCCCAGGGGGGGGAGGGAGGGAGAGGCCCCCGTCGCCCATGGGACCCGAGCCAGAGCCACGCGATGCTGTCTGGCCTTTGCGACCATCCTAACAGCCCCTACCCATCCCGCATGGCTGAGGCCACGTCATTACTCGATGCCCTGACGGTGCGGCCCCAAGGCCTTCGGGCACGCCGGAGCTTCGTGGGGCGGGCCCCCTCGCCATCCCGGTTGGACCCGCGCACCATCAGTTGTCCAGCGAACAGTGGTCCACGCGATGTTATTTGGCCTCTGCGACCATCCTGACAGCCCCTACCCATCCTGCAGGACCCATCTCGATCCGATCGACCCGACTCGTTCCGGCTGGCCCGATCCGGTTCCGATGTTCCAACGACCCGACGCGACACGATGCAACCCGACGCTTGCACAGCGCAGTTGTGCATCCTGGCGCAGCCGATCCGATTTGGTTTCGGTTCCGTGCCGACGCGGCCCGAGCCGATGCATATTTCGGTTCGATCCGTGTTGACACCTGCCCGAATTGGGAACCGCCTTCCCAGACAGGTCGACTGCGGAATTCTGAACTGGCCCACTCGACATCGGTTTTCGCATTCGCGTTGAGCTGGTGCAGCCCACCGTCGGCCTCGCCAGTCGACGTGTGTTTAGCCAAATGCATCCGGCCCTTTTCGATGTCGAGTATCCTCCGCCCGGGTGCACTCGAAATGCGGTGCCACGCGCACCCGTGGAGCACCCCCAGCAGTTCTCACTACAGGGCGTGTTTCTGAAAGGTGTTCTGTCAATCCCCGAATCCTCCTCATCCTCGTTTCCACACCAGGCTTCTGTACGGTCGGACCGAGGTACAAGATCGAGGTCGGTTCGGGGAAGGTGTCCTAGTGTTCATCGTGCATGTTGGGAGTGTTCTTGTGCATTCTGGGGGAGGTTGCCCTCGAATGTCCTTCGGCTTGGCCAGCGGAGGGTCTCCTGTTCTTGGAGGATGTTCCTATGTCCCAGATCCGGCTGTATAGCATACCGTAACGAAGGCACCCGCAGGGACGCGAAAATAATCGCGGCCTGGACCGGGGATTTCCTCTGCGGGGGGGGGGGACGCGGGAGCGCGAAGATGACCGCTACGCGCGCAGCGCCAGGCTTGATGTCTGGTGGCCCTCCTCCATGCCCTTGTGCTGGCACAGTCCCCGCAAAGTCTACGGAGGCCAACACGGGCTTGCGAAAGGACGACCACACGCAAGAGTTCCCCTCGCCGGGGGTGACCTTTGGTGCGGGCCCCTTGGGCCCCCCCGATCGCCCAGCGCGATGCGGCAGTAGTTTCTTGCGCGCTTGTGTGTGGATCCCGCCGCGGCCCCCGAAAAGCAAGGGTCACTCTTACGTGTACCCGATCTGAGAAGTTGTGTAAGCCCTCCCCACAGACGCAGAAACCTTTCAGAAGGCCAGACGCCGTCTGAAAAGCCCCGCGGTCTTCCAGGGAGGCCTTCTCCTTCTCTCGTTCCCCCCCATCGCTCGCTGCCAAGTTATGGGAGGGGAACGGGCTTGGGGGGAACGTCTCGGGAGGCAACGCGGGCCTCTTGCGTTCAGTCGTCGAAACAGTGCTCACACCTCGATCCTTGGTCCTCGAGCTGCCTCCGCAGAGGTCTCGCGGTGTGCTGTCGTGGGACGTCTCTTCGGGGGGCAGCTGGCCCGCGCGTCGTGGAGGGCGGGCCTCGTTTTCGGGAGCAGGAGGGAGGCCACGCTTCGTCTTCGACAACGGCTTTGTCGGGACTGCGATCTGGTCACAGGGTCGGGGAGTGGCCGGGTCACGTCAACCGCTCCCTTTAGGCGAGGGATGAGGAGGAGAAGGAGGAGGAGGAGGAGGACGACGACGACGAGAAAAGGGCTCAGGTGTGGAGGAGGAGGAGGAGGAGGAAAAGGAAGAGGAGGAGGAGGAGGAGGAGGAGCAGGGGGAGGAGGAGCGGAAGGAGTAGCGTTCGTTCCTTAATGCGCGACTTGCGACACCGAGCGCGGAAGGATAGGCTGGACAGAGATAGGCGGGGACGACAGCGGCAGCATGAGTGCGAGTAGTTAGCATGGGGTGAGCAATGCGTGTCGTTCTCATTTTGGATTCCTCCTCAGTATCTGATTCCCCCCCTTACGCTTATAATACTCATCCCCCTCTCCCTCCTCATCCTCATCATCATGTTCACCATCACCATCACCATGACCATCATCATGATTGCCATTGCCGATATCATTATCATTACCATTATCAGTATCACGATCCGTATCATCATAAGCAACAGCAGCAGCAACATCCCTCTCCCTCCATCTCTTCCACCCGTCATCATCAGCCTCGGCGTCAGCATCATCTGCCCGATCCTCATGATTATCATCTCCGCCGGTTGGCTTCATTCTACTTCTTGAGACGACGACCTGCAGCCTCGTGCCGAGATGCTTTTTCGTCATGGGACGAGATCTATACAGATCCACTGTCCCTGACCAGGCCCATCCTGGATCCAGGAGCGGTGTATATGCCTCCCAAGCCAAAAGCCAGGAGGGCGCACACAACGCTCCCCTAGCCCCAGGACGGGCCTGGCCGGGGACAGTGGATATGTATGGGTTTCGTCGCCGCAATACTGTTACAGCTATTATGTTGGCATCTCTCGGACGTGTGCATTTTTCCTCGGCGAAGGCCATCGAGGGGCATCTCGGATCATCTTGAGATAAATACACGCACGAAACCGAAACACTGGACAGCTCGCCCCTGGGCCCCCCGCCAACCCCGCGCCAAGGGGCGAGCATATATACGGGCGTAGCACCGCGCTGCATGCGTAGCCTTCGGCTGGGCCAGGCAGAGCAAGACTCAACACTGCATCGCGTGGCGCGTGGATGCCCGCACCAACCACGACTCCTCTCAGACCCTACCTCCGACCCCCCCTTTCGCTACCTCCTCTTCGTTCTCGTCCTCCGTCCTCCCTCTCACCCATCCCCCCCCCGTCGTCCAACTCCGGCTTCTCTTTCCGCCGTCTCCTCCTCTCCTACTCCCTCCCCGTCTTCCGCCTCCTCCGCCCTCCTCGTCGTCCACCTCCTCGTCTGACGCCTTCCCCCTCTTCCTCCTCTTCCTCCTCCCTCCCCACCAGTCTCCCTCCCCCTTTACGACGTCGGTATCCTCCTTCCCCCACCGCCTCCCCCACCGCCCCCATTCCAGGCAGGCAGGGGCGCAGGCAAAGCCAAGCGACACACTGTCGCAACGAAAATGAAAGGCCGGCAGGACGATCCTCAGCCCAATGTCGAGCGTGATCCATATACCAATGCTGTGGCTGCATGATGCGTCCAGAACCCCATACCAACGAATCCGCCGATCATTCCTGACCGCCCGTGCGTGGCACATGGTACTTCTTAGTCACGTTTGGGAGAGTTTCGCACCGCCCGGCCTTAAATGTGCCAGCGACAGATACCCACACCCTTAAAATTGCCAGCGAAATACCCTCACACCCCTCGCTCGAAATTGCCAGCGAAATATCCTGACCGCCCATGGCCTAAAGCTGCCAGCTGAATATCCTCACCCCCTGGCCTAAACTTGCCGGCGAAACATATTCACCCCCTTGGCGTAAAATTGCCAGTGAAATCTATTCACCCCCCTGACGTGCAAAATATCAGGACTCGCATCCCTTGAAACTGTCAGGGGGATGTTCTCAGCCCCCTGGCCTAAAACTGTCAGCGAAATTTTCCCACACCCCTCGTGAAACTGCCAGCGAAATATCTTCACACCCCTCAGCGAAATATCCTTCACCCCCTGGCCTAAAACTGCCAGCGAAATTTCCTCACAACCCTCGCTTGAAGCTGCCACCGAAATATCCTCCCACCCCTCGCTTGCAACTGCCCGCGAAATATCCTCCACCCCCTGACTTAAAACTGCCAGCGGAATTTCCTCGCACCCCTCGCTTAAACCTACCAGCGAACTATCATCACATCCTGGCTTAAAACTGTCAGCGAAATATCCTCAACCCCCTGACTCAAAACTGCCAGCGGAATTTCCTCGCACCCTTCGCTTAAACCTACCAGCGAACTATCATCACGTCCTGGCTTAAAACTGTCAGCGAAATATCCTCAACCCCCTGACTTAACACTGCCAGCGAGGACCCGCGGAGGACGCGCCAGCGCAGTCTCGACAGGGCTTGCGCACGGAGTGCGCTCGGGAGGGCCAGACCTTCGCCCCCTCCACCTCCTCGTGCGGTTTCCCGCACCACTCGGAGGAAGCTGTGATATTGATACCGCTGTTCGCCGTGGAGGGCCGTCGTCGCCACGGCTGGATTATCTTCGGATTTCGGGTCAGAAAGCACCTTGGGAGAGGTCCAAGGAGTAGAAGTAACGGTATGTGTTTGCTCCCCCACGTGTTCCTGCTCATCCTCCTTCTCCGTTTTCCCTCTTGCAGGGGATGGGGAAGCATGTTTCCCGCCTCCCTCTTTCTTTTGTGACGGAACCTCTTAAACTTCCGAAAAAACGACGGCGGTATCGGCGTTATCCTCTTCCTCCTAATTTTTGTTCGAGGGTAAATGTCGACCCCCGCCTAGGTGCCGAGCCGTACCAATTCGTACAAGACACCAAATGTCCAGCTGCACCCTCCACCCAGAGCCCAGTCTGGTATGAACTAATGGCGGGGGTGTCCCGAAGCGGAAATAGTCTTCCCTTATTGTCTTCTTCTTCTTCTTCATCTTCCCTTTCCTCCTCGCAAGCCTCCACCTTCCCCCTCCGACGCCCACTTCCCCCTCCCCTTCCCCCTCCTCGCGCGTCCTCCTCGTCCCAGGGGCCTCCGGAGACCTTCAGAGACATCCTGGGCTCGCAGGGACGGTCAATTGGGCGCGGCGAAGAGTGGGTCTGGCTCCCTCCCGAAGGACATCGCTGCTGCGCTGTCTGTGGACGAGGCCTCCATCCTAGACATGGACGGTCATCGGCTTAGGGCCAGGGCTGATCGGACCGTCACGGTCATGTGCGCCGTCATCAACATGCTCGAGTTGCGGACATGATCCCCTGTGGTCTGTATTTATTGTGGTCGGAAAAGCGACGACGAGTTGAGGTCAGCGGCCGACCGCAAGAACAAGCGCCGTCCTCTCTGCAAGGAGCGTCTTCGGACTAGGATGTCAGAGGGCTGCTGTGACAGCGCTACCAGGAAGCTCGACGCGCACGACGCGGCCAGCCTGGGCGAAAGCTGTACGCGTGGCTGCGTGTCTTTCCAGCGCTCGGCCTTGCGTGGCCAGGCACGCCGGCCGTCCGTCCGTACCGGTATCCGGCGATTGGCCTGCGCGTGTTCCGCATGCGACCCCAGCCGCGTGTGCTTCCAGCTTCTCGGCAGGCTCACGCAGTGGAGAGGAGGCAGGACGCCATGCACAGGCAACACATGCGAATTACACTTCGTGTGTCGAGGAAAGCGGGAGGGAAAGTTACCCGAGTCTGGGCACGGACCAGGGCCGCTTTTGTTCCGCAATGCATGCTTCACCAGTTGCTTGGCCGCGACAGAAGCACCCTTGGAAGCGAGCAAGGGACACTTTCATGATGACCTCAAGACAACGCCAATGCGAAATCCAAAGGCGGGAATTGCATCCCGCCCGGGATTTATGGAACCGCATGTGTTGCGGGTGAGATCTCTTACTTCCTGCACTCAAGCTATGTTGTTAAAATGCATCATGAGAGCGGGATCCCGGCCAGACCACGCAGTACGAGCGTTTGCTACAGAGCGCTCACGTCTAAATTCGTGGGCACAACGCTACCGACCCCATCCAGTCGGCACCTCTCGTTTCTAATTAGTGGCCGGAATTGGAAATGACTGGAATTAGAAATGAGGAGTGCGCTTGCCTATGCGTGCGTGTGCAATTGCGATTGTATGTGTGTGCGTGTGTGTGTATGTGTGTGTGCGTGCGTGTGTGTGTGTGTGTGTGGTGTGTGTGTGTTTGTATGTGGTTGTGTGTGTGCGTAGGTGTGTGTGTGTGTGTGTGTGTGCGTACGTGTGTGTATATGTAGGCTTCGAGGGGGGTAGGGTGGGTGGGTTCAATGCTTCCTGAGCCCCCGTCCCCGGCAGGGCTGCCGTCGCGGAGAGCTCGTGTCTGTGAGTAACGTGTGCATTCGGGTGCACTCACACACATTCAAAGAATTTTCGGCATGGCGATGCAGTTGTTACTTACGGGAGTCCCACTTGTCATGTGAAAGAAATTGGTGGGTACGACGCCTCAATCCTGCCGGCCATTCCCGGCTGTCTCGATATTTGTTTCTCGCATTGGCGGCGCTCGGCCTTGCTCAGGTTCCTTGGTTTGGGTTCCTCACATCGGGGGCGCCCGTCGTTGCCCGGGTTCCTCGGTCTTGGTTCCTTGTTGAGTTTCTTGGGGCTTCCAGTTTTAACGCCAAGCAACGCCAAGCAGTGCAAGGCAATGCAAAGCCAATGACAAACAGTACTAAGACATGCCCAGCAATGCCAAGCAATGCCAGGAAGCGCCGAGCAATGCCAAGCAATGCCAATCAACGCCGATCAAAGCCAAGCAGCGCCAAGCAATGCCAAGCAATGCCAAGCAACGCTAGCAACGCAAAGCAATGCAAAGCAACACCAAGCAAGGATTCCAAGCAATATTTGCAACGCATTGCTTCACAATGTGCAGGACTCACTTGAAGTTGTTGGGGAGAAAGAAAAAATTAGGGTCGCGCCATATTCATTTGTGGTGACCCAGTGCGGTCGTAGATTGTCTCGACTGGCCTGTGATGGCGAGTCCTTGGCAGCCATTTTCATTCGAGCTCGATTGGGCCGTAAAGCAGCAGCTCGTCGCACGCCAGAAGCGATGTTCGAGGCCGTAAAGGACCGCAAGGGCCTCTACAGGCCGCTTCTGCCGCAGGCCGTAATCTCCAGAGCCTCGAAGGCGCCGCAGCTAGAGCCGTTGTACCTGGCCGTGTTCCTCAACACCCTCTCGCGGATCCTCTCCAACACGCCGGCGTTATGCTTGCGGTTCCAAGATATGGCGGCCTCGCGGCAAATGGAGTTGCCTGAGATCGTGATCTGGTTCGGCGTGCTCACGGCGATGCGCAGTCTGGTGGAGTTGGCTGCCACGCCTGCATTGGCGTCGTGGTCGGACAGAGCAGGGCGCCGCAAGGCCCTGTCTGTGTGCTGTGTGGCCTGCTTCTTGGAGTGCATCCTGTTGGCTTCGACGGACTCGTTGCTTCTCTTCAGTCTTGTGCACATTCTCGGCGGAGCGCTGGCGAGCCACAACGCCATTGAGGGCAGCTGCGTGGTCGATGCGACGCCAGGTGGCGGATGGCAGCGAGGTGTGGCATTCGAGAAGCTGTTCCTGGTCCTCGGGGCCGCCGTCATCATCGGCCCCGCGGTCGGCGGGGAGCTGTCCACGTACAGCCGTGCAGCCCCATTCGTGGCCGCCGCTTTCGTCAGCGGCCTGGGCTACCTGCACGTGGACCTGCACATGCCCGAGTACCTGCGTGCCGTCCCGCCGAGTCCCAGCAATGCCACCAGCAGCCCGCGGGGCGTCATGTCGACGCTGGCGGCCCTGCAAGGCGCGGCCAGGGGCTTCCGGCAGCTGCTGCGCAGGGACGTGAGGCTCCAGTGGTACGCGTGCGCTTCGGCGCTGAGCAGCATGGGCATGAGCGCGTTCCTGTCTGTGAGGACGGTCTGGGCGCGCACCG